GCCACCACTTTCTGTGGTGACACTGGAATGAAAGAACTGCCAGGCATCCAACTTTCCATGAGCACTTGGGAGTTATGACACATCTTAAATGAGTGGATGCCCAGTTTTCAGGCAATCATTTTCTCAGGGATTGTAACATCTTGGCACTTCCATGACTACCCAGAACAGGGCTACTCCTAACTTCCTGGCTAGCAGATAGGGCACCACCATCCTGTTCAATTTTTGGTCTTCATGTGGAATATGATGTGGGCACTGGAGTAGAGGGAAGTTCTCCAGTGAATGGATGGTGGAGACTGGAAGACCAGCCAGGAGAGCATTGGTTCTTGTGTCTGAATGTGGCAAAGGCCAGGATGTGGGTTTCAGTGAGTGATTGGAGTGAGTTAGGAGGGGCGGCAGGGCATATTACAGAGATGGGGTTAGGAGATCTTTGTGATGGAGAGGTTACACAATTAGAAATTCTGCTCAGTAGTTAATAGGACATTCTTACTTAGTCTGAAAGAGTAGCCAGGGAGGAGAAATTGAATTAGTGGCAAGATACTGACTTTTTGGCAGGAGCTGAAGGGGAAGATTTCGATTTTACGAGAGCTTAACTGGAGAAAATTGCAGCTTAACAAAAATAGTCATGAATGTTTAGTATGACTAACACAGAACCCACAAAGAACAGCAAGGCTGGTGTTGGCGAGGTGGATTTGAGCACCATATCATAATCTTGGAAGTTGCCTTTTTGAAGCAAAAAAGTCCCCAATTCCATTCTTTTGCATCTTCTCTGTGACAATCAGCCCATGAGGCAGGTCTGTTGGTATTTTCCTGGTAGCTGCCAGTTTAAGTGTGAGCATATATCACACTCTATTCATCCCTGCAAAGCAAGTGGGAGGCTGGCTATAAAAAATTGGGCTACTCCCTGAATCCTTGATTCATAACTCCTCTCAAAAGTCTGATCAACAAGCAGATCCAATGACCAGCTAGAATCCTCTGAGAAAACAAGCACAATGTTTGCACTGCTAGACCAGACCCGCTAGCTCACTGAGAGATTTTCAAATGGCAATGACTCAGAGTACTGCAGACCACAATTTGACAATAATCTGTCGCATGACAAGGGAGTAAACACTGATGACAGAGGATGGCTAGAAACAAGAGGGCTCCAACAGTTGCCAGCAGCCAAAATGTTTTACAGCAGCTCAGTGAACTTCAGTGCTACGATCTACATGGCCCTATGTTAGCTGTCACTTCAAGTACATCTCCTAGACCATTCACAAATAGACTGCATCTTCCCAAAGGTAACATTACAACTCATGGCATTATGGTCACCAGCTTCTTCTGCACACAGACGTTCAAAATGAATCATATTGTTCCCCTTCTCCAGGTCTGCTTCTGCTGGTTTCAGTACAGGAGCTAAATAAGATAATCTCATACTCAAATTGATCTAAAATTCTGTAGATCAAGCCATCCCATAGCCATGTTCTCACTGAAAATGCTCATACAAATTTCAGAGCATTGATTTGACATGAATTTGTTGCTGTTTCTTGTAGTTGAGCGCTTCTCCACAGTGAAAAGGGGAGAAGCCGAAGTGTCCAGGCAACTCTCACTCCTTTCCTGTTGGGCAGTTGCAAGAAATATTTGGTCTTGAGTAGAGTTATACCATGTGTGGACTGCCTGAAGTTAGGTCCTTGCTCCATGTTTGCTGATGCTTCATCCTGAGCTGTTTTCTTGGCCAATTTGTTGCCACTGGTGATTTCCCATTACTGCCTCTTCCCAGTGGCTAGCAGAGGAGGCAGGTCCCAAGTCTGCCTCTGCTGGAATAGGATTTGAATCATCATTGTTGTTCTGAACCACCTCGCCATCTAACCAACTAAGCTGTCTCCCCTTGTGCAGACTACAAGTGGGAAGAAAATAATGATGCTCGGTACTCTATTTAACAATGACTTATATGTTAGATGAGTGGCTTCAGAATAAATTGAAATACAGATACAGCCAGGTGGTTTAATTTGTTTTGTGCTTGTCTCTATTCTTCCACAAAATATGCAGAAACATTCACACACTTGGGAAAAGGCAGCAGTTATGAATACCACTTTCAATTTGTTACCTTTTGTTTTAAGAGAGGGTCCACAGGGTTTTTCCTTTTTGGCTGTTTACTGTGCCCACCGTGAACAATTCGAAACCAATCTCAGTGCTAGGAGGTATTTACCCATTTCCTGGCATCTGTCAGTTCCAATCCATCATCTATTGTTAGAGTTCAATGGGTCTGTCTGAAAGTTACTCATTATCCCTTTTGGCAGATGTCTCCCAACCACGCAGCTAAAACTCAAACCCATCATTTGCAAATTATTAGCTGTCCCCCATGTTCTCACCAAATGCAAACATGTGAGTTTTGTGAATTCAGTGTAATCTACTGTTTGCCTAAAACAAAACTAAACAATACCTTTCATCTCACATTATGTACTATGCCTGATTGTAACCTGACTTCAAAAATCGTAAAGACAAGTAAATATAATATTTCACCTCAACAGTTATTACCATTATCAATCTTTGTCGTAATAAGTAGTGGCAGTCTTTTTTGTTTTTTGTTTAATTTTACATGAAGACACCAGCATTTGTATAAACCTAATGTGATCAGCCTAAGTACACTATGATTCTAGTAGCATCTGTAGGAACAAAACAGAGTTAACATTTCGAATCGACGACTCTCCATCAGAACTGAAGTCTCCGGACTTGACATGTTAACTTTGTTTTCTCCCTAAAAATGCTGCGAGACCTGCTGAGTTTCTCCTGCAATTTTTGTATTTGTTGCAGATCTCCAGTATCCACAGTTCTTTGTTTTATATAAGCACCATGAGTTTTGATTCAGTTCCACAATGCAGCTCAATGGCATGTGTTACAATTCCTGCTGTAGACAATTCATAGAAATAGAAGTCTAATCCCAATTCCAGAATCATTTCGTATGATTTGAGGATGTTTAATTCCACCAAAGTATTTGTGACAAGTAGATTTCATTTGTTTAGAACAGTGGGAGTGAAATTGAACCATGCAAGCAGTGGCAAGGCAACGGCAGATTTTTCATCGCAACAGTTTCTCTTTTCCATCAAGTTGGGAAAATATTGCCAAACATTTAAATCTAACACAAATGAATAGACTAATTTCACCCCTTCACTTCAGGGAATATTATTATCCATGCTTCTGACAAACTCTGCATCTAGACATCTGATTTAAAAGTAATTCTTAGATGTATTTCAATGAATTTTCAGAAGCCGTTATGTCCTTCAGCGATTTGTCAGAAAGCACAAGCCAATAACAATGTTTCATCATAGCTCTATGTGTCAGGGTTTGTCAAGTCTAAATCATTTTATATCTCTGGATCATTTTGATCCAGTCACATGGGGACCAGTAGCTGACTGAGTACAAACTTCAAATAGTGCCTACATTTTTAATGTGGCTAACAGAGAACAGCGTTCTATTTATTAATGCTGGTGTATCACCACTTTTGAAAAAAATTGAAAATGAGTGTTTTTTCTAAGTTAACATCTTTAATCACCCACAAAAGCTTGACTTGCTTTTGACTCACTGCACGTTTAACAGCTCAAGTTGCGCACTGAAAATGTAACATTCTTGAAATGTCAGGCAAAATTTAAAAGCTGCATTGATAAAACACATAACAAGTGAAGAAGCATATTTTGTAAAGAATGTTAGTCTTTGGAACAGAATTTGCACCAGATGTATGTTAGTATTTTAAGGCATTGCAATAGTTTTAAGGCTTTAAAGTATTCTGTGAGAGAAAGTTGACAAACTTATTACCTTTTTTAAAACCTGTATTATTTACCGCTCCTGTTCCTAATGCAAATCATTAAAATATTCCCCTCACACAATCTGCACATTTCTTGTAACAGTGCAGTATATAATTCAATTCTCCATATTCCAAGCCTAGCTGGACATCGCTATGATGACTGACAAAGCTGTAAGAGTTTTCAAAATTATGAAGGATTTAGTGCTCACCGGAGTGCAGGGGGATCTCTGAATGACTCTGTGTGACCCAGAATTCCAAGTACATTGTGCCCACCTGAATCGGCTATTATCTGTCCAGGGGTTAACAAAGTGGATTGATGTAGGAAGTAAAAGGTTACCATAGCTCATAGTGTTAAAGTTGTTTTTAAACATAGTATAGGGAATAGGAGTAGGCCACTCAGCCCTTTAAACCTGTTCAAGGTGGATCTTTTATTTCAACACAATTTTCCTGCACCATCCCCAAACCCCTTGATATTTTTAATATGTAGCATTCTGTCAATCTCAATCTTAAATATGTTCAATGACTGCACCTCCACAGGAACTTGGGGCAGAGAATTCCAAAGATTCACAACCCTCTGAGTGATTAAATTTCTCCTCATCTCAGTCCTAAATGGCCTACCCCTTATTTTCTCTGTGGATGTGTATGAGACAAAAGTCATTAAACAAGGGTCATAAATGTGATCAAACAAAGGGGCACTTCCTCCTGAAACTGTTGTATAAATGAACCTGCTGTAATTTCAGGACACTTCTGTTTATTGAGGACTCTTCACTGCATGATGGTTGTAAGAAAGACTTTCTGATGTCAGCTTACTCCAATTCCCAGGTAGCTTTTGACTCGCAACAGTTACCACTTCTATCCCTATTGGAGAGAATGAAAACATTCCCACCACACAGTCATATCTTGTAAAAGTGCAGCATTTGTCAATGTTACATGCCAACAAAAAAATCCTTAGAGAAAGATCATGTAATGTAAACAGGTTTGTTCTACTCTGCTATACTTTCAAAAACATTTACAAGTCAACACTGCTTTCATGCTTGATGTCCAACCGTTCTCTAAACTGCTTGTTGTGGTATTGTATTCTATGAGGGTTAGATTTAACATGTAACCTGCAGTCATCCCAAATTTAGTAAGAGGTATCTATTTTCCATTTTGATTTGATAACTATTTTTAAAAACGACTCTGTATTCTTGTCGGAACTTGGCATTTATCTCTCTGCTTCCAGTTTACTTTGCCACATTCCCGTGGAAGCTCTCATGGGCAAACTCGAATTATTCGGAAAAGCTACTCCAAACCTTACTACACAGAGATGATGACTGAATGCTTCCAACTCTGGAAGCAACTGGAAGCTGAGGCTAATGTTAAACTATTCAGGTAAATAAGCACCATATATTCCCAGATTGGGGGCATTCCAGCAATAAAATAAAATGTTTGCACTTACATAGCGGATTTTTTTTTTGTAAGAAAATGGGCTTTTCAGGTTATAGTAAAGGAATAGGCATTGCAAGAGTTAAATGGCCTTAAACTTTTCTTTTAAGCTACTATTTTGGAAAATCACACTGCACAGTACAGTCTGTTGATATGTGGCTGATTCAGCATCACATTATTTCTTGCAGGAACTGTCTACAGCCTCATCTGTTGTCTCATTCTATATCTGTGGGATTTGTAACTTTGTAATTTTTTAAAGTACTAAATTCCCTCTTTCACTATTTTTTTCTCATTGAGCTTTGCTAGATTGCTGATTTAAGGTTGCTGATCTTAGGTTAATGACTGCAGTTTGTAGTTTTCTTCTGTTGGAATTAGGAAAAAGTTAAAACCTAAATTTACTTTGCAGTTAGAACTTTTGTCCTTAAAGTCCACAGTTCTGTCAACAGCTATAAAAGCAGTAAACCAGCACAAAAATTGCTTGTGTTAAGGTTAAAAACAGAGAAAACTTGACCATAGCATTTGCAGTGCACATGGTTAGATGGATTTATTTGCAGTTCTAGCTTTTGAGATGTATCCTGGAATGTTTGGGTCATTCTCTGTATAGAAGGACCAGGAGGAAAATTGATGGGTGTAAAAATGTAAATGAATACAAGAAACAAGGATCACACCTTCTACTCAAATGACAATAACACAGAATATAGTCAATTGGACTTGAGAGTCTGCTGCTCATATAATTTTCACTGATGTTTAAATAAGATCATAATTGTTATGCAATCAGCTATGAACTATTAATAGACAGTGGAAAAGTACTTCAAATGTATTATTTTGGAATTAATATTGAAACAAAATAACATTTAGCATCTAGTGACTACTGTTACATACATACTGTTCACTATCTTGCCAAACCTCCTTTAAGAATGTAGCTAATCGAAATTACTTTGAATTAATGATGCATTTGTTTGCATGGATCAGAAGAATAGTCATAGATCCTCCCTTCACAAAACTATCCTGACGTGTTCACTGCAGCCTAAATTTTGTGTGATATTTGAAACACATAATAAATTAAAAGCAGTCAGCCTGCTAAGAGATTGGGGAGTTCTGCTGAGTATCTCAGTTCACTGGAAGCAAAGGCAATATCAACCTTGTTCACAGTGAGATAGCATCCCTCAACAAAAACATGATGCAATATAAACATGGCAGAAATTAAAATCAGACTACCTGTATTTTGAGTTAAGCATATTGGTAAGGCTATATAGGGCAAATCAGACTCCAACAGCACATGCACAGCAGAAAGTGGCTTTAATCATACAGAAACATTGCTATTCTAGAATTTTGACAAGGAATTCTGCATTGAAATATAAAAATGTAGATTGTCTGCTTCAATCATTTCACAGCACTTGTTCTTGGAAAATACATTCTCTGTTAGGAAAGTACAGTCCTATGATTTACGTTCATTTCTTCAATTATGTTTTGAGCAATTTAGAAGTTATCTCCTTTTCCTTTGATCACTTTAATTTAGAGTAGGTTCTAGTCAACTAATTGAGTCACGTACTGTTGCTCGGTGAGTTTCTGAGTTAATCCTTGGTGTTCTATTTGTATAACTTTTTATTTATTACTTTTTGTATTGCATCATATTATACCATGCAGTCAGTCTGAATATTGTTGAATAAGTGTTTCTGTGAAATAAGGATGGAAAACCCAAACTCTCTCCAGCCTACAGTCCTTAACCATTTTAAATAATTGTTAACGTTGGCTATAAATGTTTTTGTTTGATTTTTGATTTTAAACAGATTACATCAGGCTATAAATAGCAAATTTATTCACCTTTCTGCTTGACGTATTTCTTAAATCACTATTGTTCACTTTGTAGAAAGTAGTAACTGTTCATGTTCTATTAAATTCTCTGTTGTAAATATTAATCATGTACCAGAATGTGGGAGTTCCTCATGTGAATACATTTTTTTCCATGCGAACCATCAAGGCTAAAATTTAAGTCGGTAAAACCCATTGAATGCCTACTTAAATGGCTCTTTAATGTATTTTGAGAGTATATTTAGTGAATTTTTACAAAGTAGATATTTAATTTTTGGGAATGCTTTCAAAAGGCTCAGCACAGTTCAATTATAGTCACAGAAGCCCAAGGCTGCTGACATGCAACACACCAACAATAAATTTCTCATGGACACCATGCTATCTCACAGGAGTAGGTAGATGCTCATTGATTCCCGAGAAATATATCCTATAACGGCTGATGGTATTGCATGCACCTACAAAATAAATCCCATGTTCTCTAATTATGCAGCTACACCACCAGTATTGTTCAATTCCCCTGGTTAATTAAGTTTGCCTGCTATCTCACTGTTCAGTACTTATCTTCAGTAATTGTGTTTGTAGGTTTTCTACGGTTGCAATAGGTTGAGTTATTCAGTGTTCATCACAGAAAAGTAATACCCTGAACAGAATTTTGACCTGCTTTGAATTACATTCATTAAACAGTTTCAGACTCCCAAATAAAGGGAAATTACATTCAAAATCACAGGAACTGACAGCATAGTCTGTGCCCAGTGTTTCTTTCTAAATATGGTTATACCTATCCCCTATCATCTAGCTTTACAATGCTATATTAATCAACTATAGGTTGAAGTGAGTGCCTCAAATATTGAGACCAATATACATTTTATGCTGGTGAGGAGACTTATGTTTGTGAGTGGAAGATGGTGATTTAATGGTAATGTTACTTGACTAGTAATCCATTAAGCAAGGTTAATGCTCTGGGGTCATTAGTTCTGATCTGTCCATGACAGCTGGTGGAATTTAAATTTGGTGAATTCAATTAGAAACTTAAAAAGAGTTTCATGGTCATCATTACCACATGAACTGTTGTAAAAACCCATCTGGTTCACCAATGCCCTTGAGGAGAGGACCAGGCTACCTGGTCCTGAGATAAAGGGCCTATTTTAATGCACGTGTCATTTTAACCAGGAGCCCTGATGATGGCTCAGGTAAGTGATTGATACTTTTTTTTTTCTGGATCAAGAACAGCAAATTAGATCAGTCCAGTGTCATTACTACTGCACCCCTACGTTCTCCCCACTGAAAAAGATACACCTGATTAAATAAAATGTAACTGGGCTTTTAATTTTGTCACAACTTCAGGGTACTGGTCTAGGGCCTTGGTGGCCACAAAAAATGAATTTTATAGTTGTGGAATGTCAAATTTCTCTATTATGATTTTAAAAAGTACATCATAAGTCTATTTATGATATTTCTATTTCTACTTAAACCTGTTTTATGACCAAATCATTTATTCCATTGTGTAAGTTTTAAATTCAGTGCGTTTTTCTTTCTAGCTTGTTGTCTATGAGAAAATAGCAATGTGATTGGTTACTTGTTGGATTTAATGACATTGTGGTTGCTGGATGCCCAAAGTTCCCTAAAAAACAGCATGGTAGCTCAGTGGTTGGCATTGCTGTCTCACAGCATCAGGGACCTGGGTTTGGCTCCACCTTTGGGCGACTGAGCAAACTCCACACAGACATTCTCCCACTGCCTGCGTGGGTTTCCTCTGGATACTTCAGTTACCTCCCACAGTGCAAGGATATGTAGCGTAGTTGGATTGGCCATGCAAAATCGTACAGGGTTGTGCAGGCTAGATGGATTACCTGTGGAAAATGCAGGGTTACAGGAATAGGGTAGGGGGGTGGATCTGGATGGGATGCTCTTCAGAGGGTCAATGTGGATTTGGTGGGCTGAATGGCCTGCTTCCACACTGTAGGGATGCTGTTTCTCACTTGTCTATGTTATTTCTCTAAAATGTGGGATGAAAGAAAAAAGATGAAGTTCCTGCTAGAATGATCACTAAATTTTTGCAGACATCTTTCATTGATGTTAGCGATGAGTGTCCATAACCCTCTCAGGATCATTTTAAATGGGAGCAGTTTAATTAGGCTTGATTCATGTTGCAGATGGCTGTTAATTATTGAGCAATCTTTAACTGTGGTAAGATAGATGGATAGATGAAAAAGCTAACAAAAGGCAGTAGTGGAAACACAAATATTTCCTCAAGGCTTGGGTTAATTGGGAGTGGGAATGGGATGGTGCATATAATTTTATTCATTTTAATAAATTGTGCCAATTGAATCAAATGGTGAGTACAATAAATGAAGCATGCCTCAGTGAAGACCTCGCCATCTCCCTGTCATGTGCACACAACTCTTTATCCAAAATGAATCTGTGTCAAATAGCAATGGATTAAAGCTCTTGTTTTCTGTATTGTTATGGTGAATTTGTTGCAGCAATCTCAAATGCTTTGTGTTACAGTTCATCTTAATGCAAACTCAAAATTCCAGACCATTGCCTCCTTTAGCTCACAATCTAAATCATGTTACATGTTTTCATCCTGTGTAGCAGCATATCGGCTAAACCTTAGATGTTATTTAAATAATCTTCATACTGAGCTTGGATGTAAATATCCTGACTAATCTTTCCACCACCTTCAGTCAATTCACACCACATTCACAAATTACTTTTTCTGTTTTGACACCTTATATGATTCCTTTTTCTCCTGCACAAACAAAAGCAGAAGTTGCTGGAAAAGCTCAGCAGGTCTGGCAGCATCTGTGAAGAAAAATATCAGAGTTAACATTTTGGGTCCGGTGACCCTTCCTCAGAACTGATGGTGGCTGGGAAAGCGTCAGTTTATGTGCAGAAGATAAGGAGGCCTAAACCGATGTTATTCCTACGGTCATCAGATCCGAAGCGTTAACTCTGATTCTTTTCTTCATAGATGCTGCCAGACCTGCTGAGCTTTTCCAGCAACTTCTGTTTTTGTTCCTGATTTACAGCATCCATTGTTCTGGCCCCTTTTCTCCTTGTTTAGTTAACCTTTCTCAAATAAAATTTAGCCAGTGCCAATACTGATCTTACTGAATTGCAGGCTGGATGGTAGGTATAATATGTTCAATTCTATTGCCTTCCTGTTTCTGCACTGATGGATGCTGTACTGAACAAACATTCATAGCCACTGTCAATATAGCTCTGCTTTAAAGAGCAGTAAAGGCCTCTCCCTTAATTTTTCTTCCCTCTCAGATCACACATACCCACCACTGGAACCAGAAAAAAAAGTCATCCAGCAGAGATTTTTGTGGTTTGAATAAGGCGGAGGTTCAAGCCAGGCAATTCCATCTAGAAAATTTACTTGAACTTACCAAGAAAGAATACCAACCCCCTGTTATCCTCCAGGCAGTCTGGACACTTATTGAATGGATGCAAAATTGAACAGGAAGTAAATGGAATGCAGCCAAAGCTGTAGGCTCCCCTAATGCCTCATCTGGTTAAAGTGCTGAATGGCTGAAGCAGTACAGCTGAAGGGTTCCCAGATTTAATCCCCAACCTGTGCTGTTAGCCGATCTCGTGTAGGGTAATAGGTGGGGTGTGGCAATTTATCTCCATAATAGAATAGAGAAATTCTGTTAAAACGAACGCAGTTAATCTATCATTCTTTCACTAAGGACTGACCATGGCTGGAAATATAAGCTTGATTACTGGCCAAGATCAGTGCTCTTTCAACTCCATTAGCACTCACAGGGAGACTCGGATATGAAGGGTCAACACTCAGGTCAAGAATCTATGTTCCCTGCAAGCATATACAAGCAAGCATCAACATCCTCTGGAAAACAGAAAGGAGGAGAAGAAACTTCTGCTTTAGTTGTACTGGCATTACCGGGCTAACGTTCAAGTAAAGAAGACAATATAAATGAACAATTCTGTTGTAATGTGACTAATCTTGTGTTTATCTGTAGACAAACAGGTTTGTTGGTTCTAGGCAAAGAAGGGAACCCAGAATTTCAAGCCATGAAGTCAACATTGGTCAAGAACCAGATTCCTATGGAGAGTTTCACACGTGAACAATTTTCACAGAGATTCCCAGCAGTAAACCTTCCGGAAGAAGAATCTGCGGTTCTTGATAAATCAGCTGGAATCTTGTATGCAGATCGAGCATTAAAATCTCTCCAGGTAATGTACATTCTTTCACAGGATATTAAATCAGTTAAAAATCATCCCCACTGTTTGAAAATAATCAAAAATAATATCCTCAGAGTCCTTTTGCTGATGTATAACTTATTCCACATCGGTTCTGTCAAGAGTATTGTGTGCATTATTATAGAATGGTTTAGCTACATTCCCTTCCTTTAGTACATTCTAGGTCAGGAACAGAGTGTTAAAGTTGTCTCTTAGTTTATGGCTTTAGTGGAATACAGAGTGTGGTACTGAGCTGCCTGAACTAGAAGAGTCACAGGTTTAATGCCTTTGTCAGGAGGAGTTATTTGATTTCAACTAGGTCGCTTTGTGGGTTCTTAAGCTGGCATCCACCTGCCTGGCTTTGGAGAGGAGAGAAGTAAGTCAAGATTTACATTCCTCGTCTCTTCTCATTGAACTGTGCTGGTTTTGGTATTGAATGAGGGCAGCACAAAGCCCAGCTATCATAATCATTGGGGAAAAAGCCCATAATCTGTGGTGTACAAGAATGCTTCACTGCCAGGAAAATGATTGTTGAAATTGTAGGAAACGGAGAATGAAGAGAAATTATCTAGGTGAGGCAGTAGCAGTCAGTAACTGCTGTAGGTCTTTAAAACACTTGACTGAACAAATTTAAAGCATCAAAATGCAAGTTAAGGATAGAAAAAGAATCAGAGTTCTAAAACAGTTAATGATAGAGTGCAAGCACAAAAAGTTCAACTTTCCAACTTCTCATTCTCCTCCAGGGATGTGGGGAAGGCATGGGAAAATGACATTGAGGTAGGTGATCAGCCAAGATCTAGAACATTAGAGCAGGCTCAAGGGGCTGAACATCCTACTCCTCCTCCTGTGTTCACCTAAATCATTCCATTCCTCAACCTCCAACCGTTTAGACCTGTCAGGAACAAATACGAGAGAGGATCAGCGTTTGATTGAAGGAGCAGTTCCTCAGAGATTCTGACCATTCTGCTCAGAGCAGTGAATTTTCTCTAATTAGTCACCCCCTTGTCATTATGTTTTCCCAGGCATTTTTGTGGCTTTTGTTGGGTGAATTCACCTGCCAACCCTATGTATTTTGGGCATTCGTTCACACCATGATTTCCAACTCTGATCACACCTCATGATACTGGACAGAGACCAGAATAGAAATGAGAGAAGGGAATAGAATGGGAACTTAGTAAAGCAAGGTTCAGAAAAGTAGTTGTAGTTTATCTGGGTGACCAGGAAATATGATGCCTTTTGATCAATTCCTTTGGTGGATATTTATCCAAAATCTCTCAAACTTGCCAATACAATTCAACCTCATTGTATAGAATGAGTTACCTTAGGAACCAATCACCACCGTCTATGTAAAGTAACTCATGGGATACAATTGAAAAGCCTCCTGAGATTTGTCACAGTTATTGGGCTGTTTCCTTATCCCATTCCCATGGATTCGTGAGATAATCTTATTAGCAATCTTCAAAGTAAAATCCAAATGCTTTAGCTAAATGGGCGTTACCCTGAAATATTCTGAACAGCAACTGATTGATATTGATATTAACCTTACTCAGGTGGTGATTCAATATTAGTTCAGCAGTGTGGCAGTGACTACTTTCTAAGTGTGTGCTTATGAATTAATTTAGGTACTTATGACTTAGTTATTAGTGAGTGTATCTTAGCATGAAAGTGAGCTAAGATTCTATTTTGTATTCGCTGAGATCATTTTATAACACTCGCATTCTAAAACTCTCTGGGCCTAATTTTCCTGGTGTAGAAAAATGCAGGTAATTACTCCTCCTTCACTCCTCCCTGATATGGTTTTGGATTGAGGCAGCAGAACAAGTTGAGCGTATTTACTCATGGCCTTAGTTTGGAATGCTTTCATTTCTGGCCCTCAGTTATTAGTTGACTGGGAGATGATGCTTTGGCGATCAAAGCTGGCTTTATTGGAATGTCCACAGATAAGTCATAAAGAGTGGGTTTTCAGGAAGTCTTGCAGGAGCAGTCAGGAGAACAGAAACAGTTTGTGGTGCTGGACGGAGCATTCCTGATACTCTGGCCTCACAAAGGACCATTGCACACTTACTTTGGAGGCTCCCATCTGTCTGCAGACCTGATTCAGTCCAGTAAGAAATGCTAGAGCCACTTATTTGAATAAAAGCAAAATACTGCAAATTCTAGCAATCCGAAACAAACACAGAAAATGCTGGAGAAACTCAGCAAGTCTGGCAGCATTTGTGGAGGGAGAAAGATAGTTAACATTTTGAGTAATGATATGACTTCTTCAGGAAAAACTGGCAGATCAACTTTCCCATTCTTGACTATCTTGGAAGAAGCACTCTTGGTCTCCCAGGAGGCTTGTAAAGGTGCTTACCTTCTCTCTGAAGCTGTCCTTTCCTTTGTTCAGCTGCCAACTTTCCTGAAACATGGTAAGCTGGTCAAATCAGACCAGACCAAACTCATTAAAATCTTGTAAATTGCCAAGCCGCTACCAGTTCCCATTTCCATTAAATTGCAAAGTAGATGGGTTGAGGTTGCTTTTGAAATTTTTGGAATTTGAACTCGTGACCTGGCCCTAAGCCAACTGTTTTTGGGCATTAAAATCAAGCCTGAATATCTGAAATGGAAGATGTTCCATTCTCTGGAACAGCATCCCTTTCCTTAATGAGCATTCGAAAATCATTCTGGAGGTGACTGAACAGGGTCAGGTTACCTCAGGTGCATTTGTTTGAAGAAACCCTTGTGGAGCATCATTTTTTAAAAATGTGTTCATCTCATAACATTTTGCTTTAAAATATATAGAGGCTTGTGCACACTTTTGGAGGAGTCCCAAGAAGGAGATATGGTGGGGCCAGGGAATGTAGTAAAACATTGTCCGATATTAGGAAAATTAGATTAGAAACTAATATTGCATACTTTCTTGAGCAAGGAGGAATGGACAGAATCTAGGCAGCAAGGGAAAGAAATAATGACTAAATAGGAAACTAGGAACAACTAAAATGATAAAAGCAGATGCTATTATCCTCCCAACAGAGACTCAATACTTTAAAGGACATTTGAATTCCTAGTCCAATTGACTACATGATAGGGTTTTGCATTTTCAGAGATTTACTATAACAGACAGTAAAAGCAACATAAACAAAACATAACTTAGTAGGCAACTAACACATTAAAGTACAGATAATACAAATACAAATAATTTCTCATAAAATGACCAATAAATTATATACAGCATTCTGCAGAATGATCATCTATGTGCAAACCAATCTAATGTTATTCCCGGCCTCAAACAGACTGGCATTGTCCCTCTTTCACAGAGGAATAAATCTGGTGAAAGTCATTTCCCTTTTCTTCATTTTCCTTAAGTTATCACTGTTGTCATCAATCAGAGAATGTGCTTCCAACACATTCTGCTAGGTCTTTATTTCCTGCTGTTCTCTGGGACTTTCTCTCTTTCTCACTCAGTATTCAGGGTCTCTCAGTCAATGAGTCTGCAAGCAGCAAGAATAGTTGCACCTCTTTTTGTATTCTGGTCTTAAATCTGAAATATCTTAGTTGGACTTGACCCTGGGACGGCAGCCCTCTAGGTGCCCAGATCAATTAGGTTCATCATTGAGCACTACTAGTAGGAAGCCACGTCACTTTCCACTACTCTATTTTACCTGAATTAAAGGAGACAGTTTAAAACATAACCCTCTCACAAAACTGCACACTCATAACATGGTGTAATTTTGCAATTCAGTCCTCTGTTCATTTAAAAATATTGTCACGTATAGGAAGCTTAACAGGCTAAGATTTGTTTAGTAGTTTGTTGGAGGTTAATGTTTATCCGTTGCACTTTAATTTGTTGGCAACTATACTTTAATTAATGGTTCAGTGATGCTGAGAAATCAAAATGTCATTTCTGTCAACTTTGCAATAAAGAACATACTTTTCACCTATGTGTGCACAACTGAGTAAATTAGTACTGTTTGTTTTGAAATTGGTCAAGTAGAGTTACAGGAGTCTTATCATTTTAAATAAGACTGCAGATTAACCTCAACACAGTGTATTGATTTATTCACCATCAAGGCACTGTTTGGTTCATGCAGTGAGTGAGAATCTAAACAATGATTGATTTTATTTTTACTGGTCATTGTACTTTTTCATCAGGATTCCACTTTTTCCTGTAGGGATACTGATTAACTTAACTCTTAATCAGCCAGGCAGGGCATAATAAAGATCCAGCACCACATATTGCTGCTTCTTTTAAACCATTAGAGCATATGTGCCTGACCTTATACTAAATAAACAGATTGGGCAGATTTTTTTGAACTTTTCAACACATTCTGCATTCTGAAATTAGGTTGGTTGAAGTTATTGTTGGTACAGACTTTATGTTGTAAAACTTCTGGTGCTCAAGGCTTCAGTTCATGAAGTCAACATTTGTTAACACTTAATTTGTAAAGTTTAAAATTGATCTGTAAACAAGAGCAATTCCATACCAAAAGTACAGTTTGCAACATTTTGTACAGAAACAGATTCTGAGGCAGTGCTGAATGCATTGTTTTCTTATTGTTCAGAGTTTCATATTAGTACAAAGGCAATGACCAGACTTTATGAAATGTCTCTTGCCTCCTCCATTGAGGATTGACATTCTAGAGTTCCTGCTGGGCTAGTCATCCTAAAGCCAATTGTGCATTGGAATGTCTACTGATGGAGACCTTCACTCACCAGGAGTTACAAAATGACTACCTTTCTGATTTTCCTGTTTTGTGTTGTGTTGGTCAGGCCAAACAATAGTTGGCAAGATGGAGGGATAGAGAATATTTAAGAAAATGAAGTTTGCTTTCCTACAATTCAGATCATTCTACTACTGTTGTCAAAACACTTTTTATTCCAAACAATCGTTAGTAAAAAAAACTCCGAAAAAACATTGTTTTGGATAATAACATTTGTTGGTCTGTGGCATCTAAGCAGCCATTAATTGATGCTTCTGCTACTGATCCCAATATAGAGTAAGAAATAACCCGGTATCCCTTGTGCCAGTACCAATCAGAGTTAACATGACTGCATTAAACTGCCTGAACTACCTCTGTTTGATGATCAGACTCACTAATCACTCTACCGTGAGGACGTTTCAGAGATGACCAAGCTAGCCCACAAACCGACAACCACCCTACAACAGCTACTGACAAATGTAAAGGATCCCATACCCAAAACCAGCAAAACCGGTGTAATATACAAAATACCATGCAAGGACTGTGAGAAACACTACATAGGCCAAACTGGAAGAAAACTGACCATATGGATACATGAACAGCAACTAGCCACCAAGAGACACGACCAATTCTTACTTGTCTCACTACACACGGACAACGAAGCTCACTAATTTTACTGGGACAACACATCGATAATCACACAAGCCAAACAGAGACACACCAGGGAGTTCCTGGAGGTCTGGTATTCTAACCGAAACTCTGTTAACAAACACATTGAATTAGACCCTGTGAACAAACCACTGAGAAACAGAACTGGAAGTGGTACCAACCACCCCACCAAACTGAGGCATATAAATAACAAGTGGGACAGAACACTGATGCTTCACCGGAGTCGCACTGACGATGTTACCTAGCGGGGTGACAAAATGTTTGCAACCAAACCCACTGGCTTAGCGAACATGTCTACAACCTCATCCACAACCCAAGCTGCAAATCTTTTTGAAAAGCTGAGAGCAATTCTATGATTCCACAACTGCATAAATCCTGGAGGGGAAAACCAGTTTAAAAAGCAATCTTTTGGAAATTAATGCACTGGTTGTACTGGTGCTCCACTTGGAAGTATACAAGACCAATCGGACCAGTATGTCTCATTGGAAGATTTTACTGGCTTTTCCTTCTGAGATTTCAGAATAAGAAAATAAACTCCATGATCTCTGGGTATCGTGAAGGATAAGGGCCATCCATTGAGGGACTGGAAGTGGTGTGTTAAAGGATTGGAAAGGCTTTCAAAGGTGCTAGATGTGTAGAACAATCAGAAATCATGACATTGTGCCTTTCATGAAGCTCCTTTTACAATTAATTGTGAGTAAGTTTTTCTCTTCCTTCCCAAGCAGAGCTTAGGAATTGTAGAGGGCACAATATATTTCATTATTGCACAAAAACAAAGTAGATGGTAAAGCTCAGCAGGTCTGGCAGCATCTGTGAAGGAAAAAACAGAGTAAACGTTTCAGGTCCGGTAACCCTTCCTCAGAACTGGACCCGAAACGTTAACTCTGTTTTTTCCTTCACAGACGCTGCCAGACTTCCTGAGCTTTTTCAGCAACTTTTTTTTGTGTTCCTGATTTACAGCATCCGCAGTTCTTTCGGTTTTTATATTTTATTATTGCACAGGCATCAATGTGTAAAGTTGCAGTTGTACATGTGTATAGTGAAAGTATTATTGGCCTTATTAGTTAAAACTTAGTGTTTGGGGAAGAAAACCTAGAGCACTGCCACCTCCTGGCAAATCATGTCTTACGAACGATTTGAAATCCGACGTGAAGATCAATCCAGCAGTTTTAACGTTGAGTAGGTCAGTATGGGTTAGGTGGACAATTTTAATACTTTATGTTAGAGCTCAGATTTTCATATATATACTAAAAATATCCCTGAGGCTACACTCAGACCTGAATGTATTTAAACATCAATAGTGCCTATTTCTCTTTGTATTCTTCCCCTGCTTGAGCAGGGCTTGTGAAGTTGAAGTTATATATAAAACAGATTAATATACATGTGATGCATTTAACTACTTCTATTTCACTAGGAAAGTGCATTAAAGAAATAAAAAGTCTGAGAAACTGATTAGCAGATGACTAGAACATGAGTAAGGTTCAATCATTTAAATAGGAATGGGAGATATTTATTCACAGTGAGGATAAAAAATAGATAGCTTGTGCTCCTTTGGTATGTATAAATATATTTTCTGGATTGTGGAGAAATAATTACTGGAAATCATCGTGTGTTCTACATGGTTTCACAAGGCAAAATTAAATATTTTGCAGGATTTGTTCCAGAGGTTTGGAGGTACCATTTGTGATGGTGAAAAAGTTGTTGATATACAACCTGGATCTCTGGTTACCGTGACAACCACCGCAGGAATTTATAGAGCGAAGAGTCTGGTGATTACAGCTGGGCCTTGGTCGAATAAACTATTGAACCTTGTCGGACTACAACTTCCTCTGAAGGTACAAGGGATTTAATGGCTTCTGCTCCTAACCAAGTTGCAGTAACATCAGCCTATCATGGAACACACCCTAAAGTGACCTCCAAATACATCAATACAATCAAAGCTGCATTATAGTAAAGTGTTCCAAGAATTTTCTTCCGGCAGAATATGCACTGACAGTGTTGTACTCCTGGTAATCGATGGGGAATTGTCACTCGATAAACTTTGCGGTAATTACTTTGCGATCATTAATCCTTATCGTGGATGTCCTTCTGCACAGGCTACTAATGGACCTCTGGTTGCTTCCTATTTTCTACTTGCCCCAATCCAACCCCTTGTCATCGCATGACCGTCATTCTCACTCTGATATAGATTCTCCACTGATCTACTGGAAAAGGCAATTGATCTTTCCTTTGTTATTTTTGACGGAGATGGTGAGACATTTCTTCACCCAAAGAGCGGTGAGCCTGTGGAATTCATTACCACAGGAAGTAGTTGATGCCGAAAATTGAATGTATTCAAGAGGTGACTAGATTTAGCACTTGGGGCGAATGGGATCAAAGATTAATGGGAGAAAACAGGGTTAGGCTATTGAGTTGCACAATCAGCCATGATTGTGAAGAATGGTACAGCAAGCTCAAAGGGCCAAATGGCCTCTTCCTGCTCCTATCTTCTATGTTTCTATTATGTTTCTACAACTGAAGGGAAATGACCCGAATGCATGTTTGACTTTTGCACAATTGTAGTTTGCACCAAACTGTGTTGACTGATCCAATCTTTCCTCTTCCCAATATTTGGAAGGCATTACATTATTGCCAACTGTGATGTTTTAAGCACCTTGAAGCTTCTTCCCAATTTAAAAGCACTGTATGAATGCAAGTTGGTGATGGTGGCATTGGGGCCAATGAAAATCGCCCAGAAACCCGGCGCTGTGAGAATAATTGGAAGAGGAGCAGAACAGGGAGAGGTATGCACACTGGGGAGGAGGGGAGAAAGAAACAGAAACACACACTGGGGCAGGGTGGGGGAGAGAGAGAGAGAGCAACACATGCTGGGGCAGGGTGAGAGAGAGAGAGAGAGCAACACACACCGGGGTGGGGCGGGAGGGAGAGAGAGAGAACAAACAACATACACCGGGGTGGGGCGGGTGGCAGAGAGAGAGAGAAGAAAGCAGTGTTATGTCTCACAGTCAGTGTGTCAGTATATTTTTAAGAGACATAGTATGTCAGCATGCCTTTCAAGAGACATGATCATGGCATGTGACTTGAGGGTATACAGTCTCCGACTCTACCTTAACTTGAACAATATTGCTTTTTGGAATGGCGAGGTTAATGTACAGACCTAGGTACTGAAGTATCATTGAATGTAATTGTACACAGTAGTGAACTGTAATAAAGGTTTGCTGGATGTTTCAATACCACTGGCTGCATGTGTGGCTCAGTGGTTAACACTGCTGCCTCACGGTACCGGGGACCTGGGTTCAATTCCACCCGCGGCCAACTGTCTGTGGGGAGTTTGCACACTCTCCCCGCGTCTGTGTGGGTTTCCCCTGACTGCTCCGGTTTCCTCCTATAATCCAAAAAGTGTAGGATAGCTGGATTGGTCATGCTAAATTACCCATAGTGCCAGGCACGTATAGGCCAGGTGGATTAGTTATGGAGAAATGCACGGTTACAAGGATAGAGTGGAAGGTGTGGGTCTGAGTGGGATGCTGTTCAGAGGGTCAGTGTGGACCCAATGGGCTGAATGGTCTGCTTCCACACTGTAGAAATTCTTTGTTAGATTCTGATGCTATTAGAAATAACAAAAGCATTGCTGCATCAGGTGAAAATAGCCTACCACAGGCAAAACATGCAGCCCAGCTCACTGAGGGAGAGGGGGCAGAAGCAGCAGAAAGTGGGGAGGTAAACAGGCGAAGAGACACAGACAGAGGAGACAGAGTTCACCATGCTGTGTGCAGTTTTGTGTTTTATTTGAGCAGTCAGGCAGCTTTGATGCTTTTTGTTGAGGACTGAGATGCACTTCGATCAAACTGGGTTTTGGTCATGTGGTGTTAAAGTCAGAAGTAGTGTCATGTGATCCAATGTCACATGATCAGATTTCTAGCAATATGTCAAACTAGAGTTGGTAACCCCACTCAAATGCCCAGAAACCTATCACCATGAAGATGTGCTTTTGAAACAAAAGCATGTCATTTCCTGATGCCTGACACACTGGCCAATGGATTCACCCACTTACCCAAGTCCAGAGAATATTAACACAGCCTGAAAAGAAGCAAAGGGAGATTTTTATAAATTAGCATTCTTACTACAGCTTTGAATGATAGACATGCCAACCAGAAAAGTGGTTTGAGAAGCCAACTGCCTGATTTACAATCTATTAAAACAACAGGCAGTAACTTAATTCACAATTATTTCAGACATCCATACCTCTCTTCTGGGATACTGGAACATGAAGCCCTGAATTAAAAATGCCAGGTTATTAAATGTAACCTCAAAGTCAAGGGGAATAGGCCAGACGTGCGCCACATACAACAACCCTGAGAGTACCTCATACCTGATGACCAGGTTTGTTCCTGTAATGGAGAGGGACAGGTGCTCCCATCTGCCTAGTTTCTGCCTCACTTTGGTGACACGCTCATCCCAAGTTTCGGTGCACGCCCCAGCCCCTCTGAACCAAATACCCAGCACATTCAGGTAGTCTGTCCTGGTAGTAAGTGGAATGAAGGATCAGTAGGCCTGGTTCCCAAAGAACATGGCCTTGCCCTTGTCCCATTGACCTTTTGCACCCGAGGCCAGTTCAAACTGATCACAGATGCTTAAGAGTTTGCTCACTGGCTGCGTATCCAAGCAGAAAACGGCGACATCATCCATGTACAGGGGGTCTTTGACTAGCAGGCCTCTGCTGCCTGGAATAGTCACCCCTCTCAGGCTCACGTCCTTCCTGATGGACTCAGCAAAGTGCTCTAAGCAGCACACAAACAAGGCAGGAGGGAGTGGGCAGCCCTGCCTGACTCCGGATCTGATTGGGAAGTTTTCTGATTCCCACCCATTGATTGAGATTGCACTAACGATGTTGGTGTAGAGCGGTCAGATCCAATTACAGATTCCCTCTCCAAAGCCCATTTTGGAGAGCAGGTCCCACATGTAGGTGTGAGATATCCCGTCAAAGGCCTTCTCCTGGTCCAGGCTGATGAGACAGATGACCACCCCGCTGTCCTGCACGTGGGCGATCATATCCCTGAGGAGCGCGAGGGTTTCAGCGATCTTTCTGCCGGTACGGCACAGGTTTGGTCAGGGTCAATCACCGAACCCAGAGCAGACCTGACCCGGTTGGTGATGATGTTAAATGGAATTTTGTAATCTGCATTCAGCTGTGAAATTGGTCACCAATTTCTAATTTCTTCCCTCTCCCCCTTCTGCTTGTCAATGAGGGTGATGATGCCTTTCCTCATGGATTCGCACACAGTACCTGCCTGAAGCTTACTGTCATAGACCTCCAGCAGGTCCTGGCCAATCAAGTCCTAGAGAGCTGAATACAACTCAGTCGGTAAGCTGTCACTTCCGGGAGTTTTATTCTTTTCTAAGGACTCGAGGGCCTTGGTCAGCTCCTCCAGAGATAGCGGCTGGTCCAGCCTCTCCTGCCCGCTGTCGTCTAAGACCTCTGTGATAGAGGACAGGAATGACTGGGAGGCCGTGCTGTCAGTGGGTTTCATGTCATACAGCCTGTCATGAAAGGATTTGCTGATCCTCAGGATGTCAGACTGGGATGATGTTACCGAGCCATCTTCTTCCTTCAGGCTGCTGAGCACAGAGCTCTCCTTGTGTACCTACTGGAAGAAGAAACGTGAGCACATCTCATCCTGCTCCGTAGTGTGGACCCTGGACCGGAAGATTATTTTGGAGACTTCTGAGGCAAAGAGCAAGGCTTGCTGGCTCTTCACCTCCTGGAGATCCTCCGTAACATTGACCCCCATCGTCTGCAGCAGGAGCAGGTTCTGCATATTTTTCGGCAGTTTGGACACCTTTGAGGATAAAGAACCTCTTGATCTTCCCTTTGACTGTTTCCCACCAGTCCCCTGGAGACTCAAAGAGGGGTTTTACGGTTCTCCAGCCTGTGTAATCCCTTTTGAGCTCCTCAATGTTTTCTGGGGTCAACAGTTTGACATTTAGCTTCCACGTTCCCTTGCCAGCCGGCTGGTCATCCTGTATGTGACAGTGGGCCAGCAGGAGGCAGTGGTTGGAGAAAAACACCAGCTTGACATCGATGGATCTGACCGAGAACGCTCAGGACATGAACAGGAAACCTATCCTTGAGCGGATAGACCCGTCTGTCTGTGACCAGGTGTATCTACGCTGCGCTCCATCTGCAGGGGTGCTGAAGACATTGTGCAGCTTGATGTCTTTAACCGTTTCCATTGGGAATCTGGATGTGGCATCCCGTTCACTATTGCTTCCCCCACGTCAGATCATCTATTGGCATCACTGATGCAGTTGAAGTCTCCGACCAGAATGACTGGCCTGGACTAGCAGGAGTGGAAGCCGCTGCAGGATGGCCAACTGCTCACACTTTTTACTGCAGTGGCGTACACATTTAATTTGGGGAGCGTTCCTTTAAGTAATGTCTGCCAGCAGGAGGCGCCCACCAACCACCACCTCAGCTTTGGAGATAGTGAAGTTGCCTCCTTGCAGCAGAATACCCAGGCCAAAGGAGCGGCAATCAGTGCCCCCCCACCCCCAACCAAATCAAAGGCCCATGGACACACAAGCTCAACCATTTCCTGTAGCTGCTGAGTTGTGGTATCCCACACTCCTGCAGAAACAGGAGGTCTGCTTTCATGTTGGCTACGTGGAACCACATCACGTGGTAGATTTAAACATTGGCACATTAAATTCTGACAGTTTTTCAACCCATTTTAGGTTGATACAATGGTTAGAACCCAAAGTCCGTTTTCCCGAGATCTTATCACTGTGGCAGTCCCTGCATCCCTGTTGTGTGGGTAAACTGTGACTCTCACAG